CACTGCTTGATGGTTGATGCAGCGGATACAGCATTCACCGTTTAAAATGCTTTTAAACCGTACTTCACCTTTTTTTGCACTGCTTTCAACTGGTTATTATTATTAGTATGTATACAATTATTACATATGTATATATCATTTTATTCTTCTTGAAGCTTCCTCATATTTCTCATGTAAATATTTCCTTCCTCCTTCCCCACTTTTTTTGTTCATAAGCTTTTTCTTATAACACAAAAAAATTCATTAGAAATCGCTTAAGCCTCCGCTTCAAGTTCCGCAAAGGTTTTGTTTCCCGATGTGTAATCGATTTTTCTTACATGTCGCCTCTCTGTGGTGGTCTGAGGTACGGAAAATACAAAAAGGCGGCATGGCATGGCGGGGAGAGGGAGAGTGGGACAGACAATGAGCCGCGACAAGCGTCGGCACTTCCACTTTGATGTTTGTTTACTCTCAATGCTGCTCTACCGTTCTGTTTGCTTGCCTGCCCTGTCTGTGTGTCTCGCTTTCACTCTCTCTGTCTCTTTCTATTGTAATCCAAGTCGTTTTGCCCAAACTCGGGAAAAAGCAAGCAGTACTTGAAAGATGAAAGCCGAAAGGGGTGTGGAGCTGTGCTGTGCTGCAGGGGCAAAACGAGCGAAAGACAATCAAGCCAGCCCCATCAGAGTCGCGCAGTCCGTGTGTCGTGGCATTTCGATCTATCTATGCTAATTGCATTTCATTGAAATTAATGTCTGCGCATCCATCGTCGTGGCAGGGTCAAGTCGTTTATTAGCCACCCTACCCCCCGATACCTCCCTCCCTCTATATATCTCCTTCTCTGTGTGCCACGCAGTTAATCTGTCCAAATGTTGCAACAACAGTGGCAGCAGAGAACATAAATTGTGTGTCGTCTACAGTAGCAAAAAACCAAGTAAAACTAAACTTAAAATGTCAGACGATGTCAGACAATGCAATTTCTTTTTTGTTACAAATAGACAGGGTATAGGGTACGCTACAGCTCGTCCGTCTCTTCCAAAGTGATTCAGCTGGTTACACTAGACTGCACCTCTGCACTGCTTTAACTGCTTTCTTACCTATTTTCGCTGCTCGCAGCATCTGTGCTGCTTGCTGATTATTCGAAAAAAAAGTATATCCCACAGAAATGTTGGATCTCTAAGGGAGCATTCCAAAGGGTATGCCCTTTATTTTCCTTCTTTTCTATTTGTATATATTTTTATTTTGTTGCATTGCACAAATCCCCGCAACAACAATTCAACCGATGACAATGTTTTCAAATTTATTTATAAATACACATTTTGCTGTTGTTGTTGTTGTTGGTTTTGTTTGTGAGCATGACGCGACAATTTGTCTGTCTATTTTTGAACTGGCTTTCTGACTCGCTCTCACAGCGGTGGCTGCCACTGCCACTGCCTCTGCCGCATTCCCATCTCTGTCGCTCTGCATCTCTCCCTCTCTCTCAGTCAGAGATCCCAAATTGTGTCCGACATCGCCGCAGCATTTTTGGGGGGTGTATACAACACACACGGGAGTACCCCTACTGCCAAAGCAGTATCCCCCTGAGAGATCGTTTATTTTGAAATAACAAAAAAAAACCCGAGAGAAAAAACAAAAAGAAAGAAAAATAAAAGATTTGTGTGTTTTTTCCGAGGCCTACAACTACCGCTCTTTTTACCTCCTTCCCCACTTCCGCCCCTATCTGCCCACTATTTTTTTTAGCAGACATCGAAATATATATTTGGATATTTTCTGCAGGAATTTTAGTTTTTGTTATTCCATTTCTCGAATTTTTTGGTTGAGAATTTTCTTGTTTCTTGTTTCTGTTTTCTGTTTCCTCGCTCTAGCACGTGGAAATTTATTGGATGGATTGGATGGTGTGGTTGTAGGGCCCCCTCAAAAGTGCCCCTCCACCACCACTGCCGCCCCCTTTGGCCTGTCTAGCATTTTATTATCAGCAGACATTCATTCCGTTTACGAAGTAGAGTATAAATGTGTCTGTACATACATATGTATACAGTCGTATATTTTCTATGATTTCATTTGTAATCAGTCGCGGGGCACTCATTGATTCAGAACTCTCTAGGCCTCCCACCAGACAGAGAGAGAGAGAGAGAGAGAGAGAGAGAGGTTTTTCCCTTTCCAGTGTGTGCACGTGTGCGACGATTTCCCCCACCCAAATCGATTCATACAGACATATCGAAGTCTAGGAGGGGGTATTAACCGACGCGACGGAATGACGTGATTATATGTACATACAGACATATGGCGGTGGGTGGGCGGTCAGGCGGTGCTTTGAAGGGATTTCCTTTAATTGCTGTCTGCAGCGCAGGGGAAAAATACCACAACAAAAACACACACAAAAGCCAAAGCCAGCAGCGAACAGCCACACAAAAACCCAGACAGAAAATAATCTTGCGTAACGATAAAATATTTGACCTACATTTGGAGGGGGGAAACAAGAAGAACGGTGGGGAGTGGGGAGACCCAAAAAACCATTTCAAGCAGGAAGCAGCAGGCAGGACCTCTTCTCCTCCCGACACCATTCCACTCTGCCACATGCAACATTTCGCCATTCGGGGGTCGTCTCCACACGCGAAACTCAAATAAATCATTGATGAAGTCACACACTTACTCACACACACACACACACACACACACACACACCAACCTTATGCCTGTGTGGGCAAGCGAGATAGAGTAGGTAAAGCAGTGTGCTCAAGTCATGTGTTGTTCGTTTCTCTCGTGTCTCACAAAATGTAGGCCAAAGGAGGCTTCTCCTTCCTACCTGTCCCTTACCCTTACCCCCTCGAACATCCTTAATTTTAGGGGCGTGGCTTTTGGCCAAGTCAAAAATAAACGCAATAAAAAAGCAGAAAGAGAGAAGAATCCATGGGAGCCTTCCGACTTCTTTTGCCAGCGGTCGGTCTGGTCTGCCGATTGTCGAGACAAATTTCCAAGAAGCAAACCGATTCTATTGTTGTGGCAGCAAGCGATAGAATGTGGAAAGGAGAGCGCAGAGCGGGGGAGTGTGGAGTCAAGTGTCTGGTGTTCTTTACCAGAGAGAGATCTGCTGCTGCTGCTGCTGCTGCTGCTGCTATGGTGCTCCATGTGATAGTCAGCTTCCGTTTCTGGGCCCACATTTTCGATGATGGAGAGAGGCGGCGGCTGCTTATCAGCTTCTCCCGCTCCCCACACCGACGGGTCGGGCACCGCGCACCCCTTTCTTGCTTTGAGCATCCGCTGATGTCTGGGGGCCTCCTCTCTCCGCTTATCTTCGGAGCCCCTCTGTGCCACAGGCAGTGCCTGTGTAGTGGTGGTGGTGGCATGACGTGGCACAAGTCAGGGTCGGGTACCGTGATACCGTGTAATCAGATACTTCCCTGCCCTTCCGACTGCGTCGTCTTTCAAGGTTCCTGCTTCGGATGATATTCTCATGAAGTGCACTCCCATTACAGGTGTGAGAGAGATAAAGGGAACCGAGCCGTTGGGTGCCTCCTCCTTTTATTCAAAATAAAGAATGCTTTACGTTATCTAAAAAAAACTCAGATTTCCCTTTCGAAATAGAACCCCCTAACCACCCAAAACAAAATGTGATAGTTTCTTGCTGAATCTTCACTCTGCTAAACTAAACTGCAAAATCAGGTGGTTTTTTATGCGACTCAAACGGTAAAGCCAAAGACAAATGGAAAATTACAGTATTTAAATGGATTTTGTAGAACATTTCCTGAAGATTCTAGAATGCATTCCATTCCATGTTGTTCCACTACTGCTTACAATGCTTCCACTCACTGTTTATGTTTACACTTCTTTCCCATGCTTCCCACTGCTTCCATTTGAACTGATTCTGCCCACTGCTTCGTGTCAGCTGAGAAATTTATTTTCGATGTTGCTTTTCGATTTTTCGTTGTCTGGCTTTTGTCTTTCCTGATTTCGTTTTGTCTGTCTGGATTTTTATGTCCAGATTTGCTAATCATTGTAACGCCTACACGCGCTCACCAACACACTCAAATCACAGTCGAATTATATGGGAAAGAATGACAGAGAGGGAGACAGAGAGGGAGAGAGCTTGGGGATAAATTCAGAAGTCAGACAGATTTCGATTTACATACACCCGGCACGATAGAGAGAGTGTGAGAAGGGTAGGGAAGGGGGAGAGGTTTGTTTAAAGAGTCGCTGATTGGCGACCCGAATTGCGATGGAGGAAGAAAAGACAAAAAGTCAATCAGACTCGGCTTTTTATTACATAATATTTAAGGGTGCTTTCAATCTTTAGAATCTCTGTGTCTTACTGCCTCTCTCGGTCTCCATCTCTCTCTCTCTCTCTCTCTTTCTCGCTCTCGGATGACTATCTCTATTAATCTTTCTCTTAATCACAATATTTCTCTCTTTCTGGGGACACTTGGAATCGCATCGAATTGGCATCAGAAATCAGGCAAAGACCGCATGTCACAATCGATTAGCGATTTTTCAGCCTGTCTGGTCTGTCCGGTTGTTACGGTGTTCGCTTTTCGCTTTTCGCTTTGGAAATATGAATAACGAATACGAGAGTATTCCACATTTCGTGGAAGCAGCAGAAGGTCTCTGGTCTCTGGGGTCTCTTCTTCTGTGTTGATAAGCTGGAAATATAAACTTTAGACAAAAGAAAGCCCCCACCATACCAGATATTTTTATTCCAGAAATTCACAATTTATAGAAACTCTTTAGAAATTAGCATCATTAGGCGGGAGATCTCCATCTTTTGCGTTGGTAGAAAATGTATTCGAGTCTCTGCCTGCCGGATATCAAAGCCCGGACCCCCCCCCTGACGATAAGGCAACAAAGTCTGAAAGAACGCAGATCAAAATATACCCATACATTCGCATTCTGTATAGTACGCGATGTCTCTAGAAAAGTCGCCAAAAAGCCAACGAAAACAATGGAAAAAAGGCCAGCAGCAAATGGCAGAAACACAAACCCAACAACCAAAAAAACAAAAACAAAAAAACAACGACAAAAAACGAACATACAAAAACGTAGTAACAACAATCAAGAGAAACAGTAAAAACGAAACGAAATGAAACACAAAAAAAATTTCAGACTTTCGACCCAGACAACAACCGATGGGATCGACAGAGCAACGGAACGACAGAGCGACCCGACCGACCGACGAGACTGATTCCGATTGGAACATGAATGGATGGCTGTATGGGTGTTCCAGTGTGTGTTTGTTTGTGTATAAAGTTGATTATGAACTCTAATGATTCGCTTTTTTCCATAGAGAATAGATGAAAGTAGAGTAGATGGTGGGAATGGAAGCGGGTATGCCGAAATAGTTGAGTGGATTGGTTGGATAATTCATTCATTTCATTAAGCAGGAGATTCCACTGGCAGGAAGTTGGGCGATCTAGGGATAAGAAGGAATCATGGTCAAGGGGAATATGCGAAACAGTCGACTCCCTCGAAGGGTATTTGGTATTCAATGAGACCCCTTTCCACAGACAACAATGTCGTCTCTGTAGCCTCCCTTGAGGCTCTCTGCTCAAGATCAGCATTGGATTTTTGAGGGTGCGTTGACCAAGCGACAGACGCAAGTGCTGCATGAGGTGGCACGTGATTATCTGGGCAGGAATCACGGTTCACAGAGATACCGGGAGAGAGAGAGAGAGAGTGGATCTTATCGAAGGAGCAGGAGCTTTAATGCACCTCTCTCTCTCTCTCTGTTGCACTACCAAACGATGACCTTGGGAAATGTTGACGCTCGTCAGTCGTCATTCTACGGTGGCTCTAATCTCGTGTTCTGTTGCTGCGGTGCTGTGGCTGCGACTGTGCGGTGCCTGGTCATGTGGGTGGCGCGGGTTGACGCGGTGTTTGACGTCGCTGCCAGCTGCCTGCTGCGACGGACAGGTGCTCAAGTCCATGGGCTCCTATCTCTGTGCCGTGTGCTGTGCTGTGGACTCTTTTCAGCACAAATTCATGATAAGACGTTAGTCTTGACTTGACTTCCATTCCATTTCATCCATCAGAAGCCAAAGAAGAGAAACAGAACCACACAGAACCCAGAACCCAGACCCCAGACGGAGACGTACCAGACGCCAGATAAGCGACAGAGGGAGACGGACTATGGCGAAAACAAAAGACCTTGATTTCGTCTGAGAGAGAGTGTGTGTGTGTGTGAGGGTCTCCCTCTTCCTCTCCGTCAGCTGTTTAATTAGCTGTCGATTAATTTACTCGTTTTTTTTATCGTATTTCTACTCGATTTTCTCATTAACTTTTAATTTAAACTTTTATTTCACCTAAATTCGTAATATTTGTTGCCAAATTTGTATTAATTTATTAACATTTTTTGATTAAAAACCCTATATGTTAATGATTGATTTATTGATTTAAATTGCTTAACTACAAATACAATATGACAAGTAGTGCAAGCAGTAGAAAAGCTAAAACCAAGAAGCAGTTATAAACCCCTGCATTTAAAAAGTCGTAAACTTTGTCCAAGCGAAAGAATTCCTGCAAAAAAAAAAAAAGGGAATCCTCGTAGGGGTTGCGGGGTTTTTTGGGAAGTGAGTCAATCTATTGCTTTTAGGGCCAGAGAGGGGGCCGCCTTGGACTAGGCGTATGCGTAACATTCTTATGCCTGGAATTCCCCCCATTTCTTCTGGCACGAAGAAAGAGCTGCTGCCCCGAAGCTATTGAAGGGAAAAGGGTAAAGGAGGGAGGGGCCTTGGGGCAGGTAGAAGGTAAACGACAAAGCAACGAGAACTCTTCTACGCTTTGCTGTTCCATGCGAGGGTCCCCTCGCCACCCCTCTGCCACTCACTGTGCGAGTGTCTCTCTGTGAGTGTGAGAGAATATCTATGTGAAAAGCAAAGAGCAAAAAAAAGCTGAGACTACGACTGAGACTCTGAGGCAGAGTCAGTGGCAGAGGCACACCACACACACACACACGTGTGTGAGAGCGGTGTGGTGTGGGGTGTGGTGTGGTGGGACAAGAGGCAGAGTCACAGAGCCACAGAGCCAGAGCTAAAGCCAAGGCAATACTCGCACTAAGAGGAGCCACACAGAGCCACGGCTGATGGAGCTCTTGGCTTACGCTTACGCATGGGTTCATTGAACGGAAGTGATTTGCCTACTGCTCTCACAGAGAGACAGAGAGAAAGAGAGAGAGATAGAGTACCATGGAGACAGAGAGAGGGAGAGGAGGAGTGGTAGGTAGAGTGCCACACGCGACTTTGACTTTGTTTTGTTCTGCTTTGTTTTGGTAGAACTCCGAAATAAATAAACTTCTTCTGGGAAATGGTCGCCTCATTCAAGCTTAAACGATGCTTCAAATGTCTTAATATCAACTGAAGAATCCCTAAAATGTATTAAGTGTTTGTTTTGGGGTGAAGGTTTGAAGGCAGGAAATGTAAACATTTGCTGTAGATTTTTTCTTAAATCAACTTATTCTCAAGTTTTACCTTGCTTAAAGTTTGTTTCAGGTAAATTGAAAGCTGTAAATATGTATACAAGAGAACTCAATGCACTTTTGAATGGTAAGTGTCATAAATTTATATTTAAAATTGGTTTAAATGTCGAAGAAACACTTTAATATCATTATAATAGATCTTGATCCTCTTAAGAAAACATTTAAATCATCTTAGGAATGTTTTCGACTAAAAAAATGAATGAAATTCCTTGCCAAAAAGGTTTTCAAAGAGCGATTCCACTCTTCTAATGAATTTTGAACATTGTGTTTTGCTTTTTTCCAAGACCTTTTCCAAGAACCATAAATTATAAAAAATTGTTTGGACAGAGCCTTCTTAAAGAGCCACGAAACAACAATCCCCTCCCCAAAATGTATCTATATCTTTAGCATACTACATATATACATATTTGCCTCGATTTCCGCCCCCCTGCTAATTTATTACAACATTTTTTATGACAGCCACAAAACACACAAATATTAAAGGGTTTTAAAAGCATTCAAAAATGCTTTAAAAGAAATGTTTTATATTCGTTTTCATTCTGTATAGATATTGTATATTGTATCTACAGATATACATATGTACACAGTGGAGGTGAATGTGAATGTGTATCTGAATGTTCGTTTCGTTTTCCCCGAGATAGTGTGGCCAGTGGTCACATACCATCGCTGATTTCAGAATTTATTGCATTTTTGTGGCCGGTGGACAGTTTTTTGACTGGATTTTGTATCTCTTTTTTCCTGTTTTTTTTTTTAATGAATTTTTATTGTTTTTCTTTTGGTTTTGAAAGGGGATTTGGGTGTGTGTGTTGACAGGAAGTCGCCGGAATGCGATTTATAGAAAGCAGATCGCGTATCGGCCTATGAATAGCGTATAATTAACAGTGGAGCTCCCTTTTGACTGATAGTTTATGATGCATACTATATTTTATTGGCAGGCAGGGTTTTCCCGTTGTTTTTTTGTTTGAGGCTTACCTTTATCTGACTTCTGTCTTTTTGTGTTATTTTGTAGGTTTAATTTTTTGTTTAACTATTTAATTGTAACTTTTTTTTTGTATAGATTATATTTAGATTTGAATTGATTTAGGAATTCCTCTAAAATTGCCTAAATTTTGCATAGATTTTTCTCTCTTAGACACTTGTTTCGGTCACACTTTTTAACGTTAAATTTTTTCTAAGCCATGCAATTTATTTACAAGAATTTCCTTCTCTTTTGTGTGGCTTTTATTCGTATTTTATGTGCATTTTAATTAACTTTATTTACGCTTTATTTTATTTTTGTGTTGTGTTCTCTGCTGTGTTGATAATTTTCCCCTTTTTGCATTGATTTTTACTTGTTTTGTGTTTTGTTATTATATTTTATTTATGTATTTTTTTGCGGCGATTAGGAATGCTTTTGAGTACAGGAACGCTGGCTATGTGAGTGTGTGTGTATGAGTGTTGTGTATCTGTGTGTTGTGTAGCTGCTGATGTATCTGTAACTGTAGTTGTAGTTGTATCTTCTGTTTATTTGCTGCTATTTATTTTCTGTGCATGTTTTTGTCACATTTTATTCGTCGTTTAAAAAAATATTGCTTGGATTTGTGTTTGATATTTTGTTGCAATTAGTTGTAGATAGATTTCTGCTTCCACTGATGTATTATTTTTTTTTTTCTACTGCTTGTGTTGTAATTTTGGTTGGAAAGCTCGCGCCGCACCGGAACGAACTGCGACCACGGAATCGAACAGACGGCGAAGATAGCGGCAATCTGGCTGCCTGGTCTGCTTACAGTACAGTTTACAGTGCTGCTCTCTCCTTCTGTTAGGAGTGGAACGCAATGGTTTTGGAACGGCTTGTAGCACTCTGTGAGTGGCTGTCAAAAAAGAGAGAGAGAGAGAGCTGCTTGTTTTTGCTGCTGCTGTTGAGAGAGAGAGAACGACTCTGCTGGCTGCTGTCTGTCTGTCTTTTGGTTTTTACGTTTTATTTTAATAATTATCGTTTGCTGGTTTCACCGCTGCTCTCGCTCTCATTCCGTTCCCACTCCCGCTGCTCCTCCTTCGAAAAGCGCAAAACAATTGTTGTCTGACGTTGAAGTATGCCAGCGCACAACAACAGCAACAACAAAAGCTGGCCGCTGCTGCTGCTGCTACTGCACGACGTCAGCGTCGGCCATGACGTAACGATGCTGCCGCTACGCGAATGTTGTTTTTGTTATTGTCTTTGCTTTTTGGGTTTGCTTTTGTTTTTTCTTTAAATTTCTATTCCTCTCTGCTTTTGATTGATTTTTATTTCAAATTAAGGCACACGCACGCACACGAACACGCAAACAGAAAGCGCGAGAGAGACTGATAAATATTGGGTGGCGGGAGAGACATGGACAAACATTTGATGTTTTTGCAGTAGAATTTATTGTTTTTCCCCCATTCGAAATGCAAGCGTTTTCTCACGCAGAGATCTTTTGTGGTTACTGGCGGAGGAGGAGGAGGAGACAATACCAACACACGACACACGCGTCCGCAACGTTTGAGAATTTTTGGGGTTTTGATGATGAGAGTAGAGTCGCCGCAGCATAAATCCGCGAAGCGCGAACGCAAAATCGCACAAGAAACAGCACAAAATGTGCTGTTGCAGCGCAAGAGAGCATGCAACTTTTTTGGAGCAAAACTTGAGCGTGAAACGGATGGGAATGGGATTTCATAGTATGTTGATGTTAATGCTTCCGGGGGGGTGGGAACGAGTGGAAATGGCTGCTGTTCAAGCACAGCTGTTAATGTAGCATAATTTCAAGAGAGTGGGAGAGAGCCAGAGAGCGGGGAAGTCTGAGCATAAAAATCGTCATAGGAAATGCACTGAGAGGGAGAGAGAGAGAGAGAGTGGGAGAGCGGGAGAGTCATGCACATTAACTGTCATACATGATGCTGCCACGAGTGCAAGGAAGCAGGCGACACACGACATTGTATGACAGTAACTGTATATTACTTTGCTATACCATTTTTTGGGGCTTGGTTTTTTTTACTCTTTCCACCAGAGAGAATTACAAATTCGAGGAGATCATTAATTCTACAGAGTAAACATAAACATATTTACTTACTTAACTTTACTAAACTAAGATCAGTGCACATCAGTTCAAAAAGCAAACACAAAACTCCATGTAAAAATGTAATGAAAATCGTATGACTATATCTTCGGTTGTGCTCGTAGACTTTCATTCTGGTTTTAGGCGCTTATTTTTTTCATTGGAAATTTCACGCTAATAAATATTTATTTTAAGCCGAATTTTGGCTAGTTCATTGTCACTCGATTCTGTGGTTTTTCGAGTATTGTGTGTGGCTTTTCTGTTTGCCGATTTTTTACTGTTTTCTGAGCCGCCGTTCAAAGTCCGAGAAATTAAACAGCCAGACGGAATAGAGTATGGCTGGGGGGGTGAGGGTTTAAGAGGGGACAGGAGTGTGTTGAGTGTACAGGCAACCGCACGTTAATTAAATTTATTTATGCAGCTTTATTTGTGTTTATTTTATTTTTAATGATATGAATCACACATGTGACATTCTTTTTTGAGGTTTTCTTATCTCTTTTTTTTTTTTCTTTTACTTTTGCTGTATTTCTGTGCTTTGTTTTAAAATAGCAACTCGAAAATGTATTAGCATGTCTACAATTTTGTTGTTAATCGAATTTTGTATTTCTATTTGTCCCCCCCGCGCCCCGCTCTCCGCTCACAACAACCAACACCGCCCCCGTTGCCGCAGTGCACTGCCTTGCCGACAATTGAGACAACTTATCATGAAGTGCTAATTAACATTGTCTGGCCCCCGCCGGCAGCAGCAGCAGTAGCGGCAGCGGTCTGGGTTTGGGTCTGGTCGGAGGTCTGGCACGCGGGTCTCGAGCTCTCCCTCTCCCTCCCTCACTCCCGCCTCACGTATGGCAATGTCTGGCGACCTACCTGCGGTTACCAAGAGCCAGCCCCATAGCCCCCCATAACCTTCCCCGAAAACCCACCAGCTGCAAAAGCTAAACAACAAAAAAAAAACCCGCAATTCACCCAAAACTGGCACTTGGTCGGTGTAGCCGCTCTCCGCACCGTCTGCTCCGTGTATTTGCTTATTCTTTTCGGCATACAATGAAATACAAAATTGTATAATAAATATTCACGAAAAGTAGCAAAAAAAAAACACACACACAAAAAAAAAGATACAACAAATATTAATGTGTACACATACGGCGAGACGGAACATTTTGTTTATGTTGATAATCTAATATGTGCTGACGTATAGTCGTATTTTGTTTTTGGGGAGTACTGCGAATTCTAGGTCTCGTCTGCAGGTAAAATTTTTGTGTGCCACCTGGTGGTGGTCAGGCGATGGGCGTTGGGGCACCGGGTGGGATCGGCAATCGATGTATGGAAGGGGGTGGGGGAATAGGATCGATTGATCCGATCGATGCGATCGTGCCAAGGCTGTGAGCTGTCTGTCTGCATTTATAAATAAATTGTGTGGCAATTAAATAAATAAAATGGATGCATATGCATGCAGTTCGAGTTCTGTTCTCAAACAGTGCACGTGTCGTATACGTAATATGTGCGACAGTCAGCGTCAGGCCCCCCCAGGCCCTCCCATTTGCCCCACTGCCGCTCAACCAGTTGGATGGGGCTCAACTTTGGTTCTTGATTCGATAATGGCATTGCCTCAGGTGATAGGGTGGTGTGGGGGGGGGGGTGGTGTTTGGGGGGTAGACCAGGAGAGTGCCCTCTTAAAAGACTCTCTCTAACTGTCACTGCTTCGATCATCATATATGCATGTATATGTGTGACACTGTCCTATCTAACACTCCTCTGCTCAGTGAACTAGTCATTCGATTACTGATTATACAGGGTATATACTACACACCCTACAATCTCGGCTGATGTACATACATTAATTGACATTCTGGTGTTAGTCATTAACTTGTTTTTGTTGCTGCCGCTGCCGCCACCGCCGCTGCTGTTGTTGACTGCTTGACTCATTGTTGCTGTTGGCATCAGCCACGATTTCTCCCGCTGCTGCTGCTGCCTCTGCTGATGTGGATGTGGCTGTGGCTGTGGATGTTTGGGTCCCTGTGATAAGCAGACTGTGGCGAAACAACAAAAGACAACGCAGACGATTTTGCATTTACTTTACATGTGCCCGATGCCCGACCGAGTGCGCCTCAAAGGCATTGTCGTTTGCTGTTGCTTTGATATTTTTAGACACCGCCAGTCAGCGGTGCCTGCCCCTTCTTGTCTTTTGAGGCACAACAAACAAATCGAGCAGAGAAGGGGCTATCAATATTCCGACTATGGGATACCTCCCCATTCAAGCAGCTCACTGCTTGCAAGAGGTGATTAAAATTACTATTCGATATAAAGAAAGCTAACACACATTTTAATATGACTTTTTAAACCTAATCTCTACCTACAATATTTGAAATGCAATCTCAAACTACCGAATGATTTCCAACACTGCAGAGTGCTTTCCAACATTGCAGACTGCTTTCCAACACTTTAGACTGCTTTCGAACACTCCATTTTGCAGTTTAGTAGTTGTAGGAAATGACTTATCTTGTCTGTGGAACGTGATAGCTTTTGCCCTGGATATACCCTGACAAACTACAATTACAGGGTATAAAGAAAAGCAAAGTCAAAAGGCGTCGGCACATCGCAGAGATCGCATCGCATCGCCTGACAATCGCACGGCTCGGCCAGACAATGAGTCTAGTCGGGCATCGATTCAGATTTCGATTCTGATTCTGATGCCAGGGATTGTGAAATATATATTCGCATTCATTCAACATTTACAGAATGGGAGAGCCATAGGAGAGTAGGTTCCATCAATCATCAATCATCGTGTGTGCAACAGGTACAACAATGGCTCGTGAACGGACAATGGATGCCCCACAAGAGTCCTTCACGCTAATGAATTTCCCCATCCTCCCACTGGCGGTCGGTCAGAGGACTCATTAAGCCCTCTATTGAGTGCCGATTGGAAGGATTGAACGATGGACAGCGATGGGACAATGGCCGTACAAAGGCGACCATCACTGAATCATAACTCATTGAACTTTTGCCGGCAGCCCCCGTTGAAACAGCATAAAAAGTGTCAATCAGTGACTCTGTTGTGGCACGTTGACGCCTCCAAAGCCCCATTACAATGCCATTTTTATGGTCAGAGTTGCTTGAGGGGCAAGCAGCAACAGCAACAGAAGTGGCAGCAGTCTGCAGCAGCAGCAGCAGACGTCAGGGTCGTAAATGTAGTAATAATAGTCGCCGAGGGCCAACGTCAGCGATTTGCTAGTTGCGGTTTCAGATGGGATGCTGCGATGTGGATGGGTATGCGATGGGAGTGGGATGGGTGTCGAAAAGCAAGACATAAATGTCTAACATATGCTTCGGGATGGGATATGGCAATGACTCTCGGACAGGTCTATTACCACCGAAAGCCTGCTTATGACGGGCCATTGGACGAACGCCTCTTGTGGCATCACCACAGGCGACACTTGACGGACACCGCCCGAACCCCCGACACACCGCCAGACAGCAGATGCGATGCACTTTGGCCCAATCGGTGTGTGAGTGGAGGCCTCAGTAAGAGCCAGCACTCAAAGAACAACATCTCAGGGTCAATGCAACGATATAATCGATTAAAAATTCTCTGTAATCTAATAGTACGTCTCCGTATCATTTTTCGAATGCAGAAAAGTGCCATATGGATAGATCTGTGGAATGGTGACCCCGATCACTGCAACCCCTAATCATTGTGAGCATTTGCAAAGGTGACAGATACAGATGAGCATGAGCCATGGATAGTTCTGTAGTTTTTTATTTAGGCCTTAGTTAGGCCATTAATGTGCTCAAAAATCCACACAAAATGTCCCCCCAAAAATGGCTGAGTAATGGAATTACATGAATGTCTCAAAATAAATACCGCAAAAGATGTTG